GTTAGACACCTGATGTTAACGCCAGCAAGGGGCGTCAGACATCTTGGAGCTGCAGTTACAGTGACTGTTAGACACCTGATGTTAGGAGCTAACGTGGGTCTTCTCTAAGTGCTGAATGATCGTTCCAGTCCCTCAGTACTGTTTTTATTGATTCATGTGGCATGCGCTTTTTGAGGGTCTTCTATTTTGACATAATTTTTTTTCCAGTTGATTATTATGTATTCATTCATTCATTAATTCAGTGATTCAGTCATTCATTTATTTTTGCTATTTTAATTTTTTCTTTATATTCTTACCATACCACCAACTGGTTTATATTATATAAATCTAGGCTTCATTTTATTTATTTCTCAGTTGTATACTGTCTCAATTATGCAATTATACTAATTGTATAATTTTTTTGAATGTGTTTAATTCAAGTCCTTCTGTACGATAGACACTTGTTAGAATTTGTTGAATGAATTAATATCTTATGGACTTGAGCTTTCTTATATGTTTTAAAACTTTAAAACTCTTTAGCTCTACCAAAAAACCAAACTTGGTATCCACACTTTTTATACTTTCTGCCAGCTCTCTACCTTGTCTTTGTTGATGTTCTATGCTGGTGATTGTTAAGGGAAGGAAAAAGGTGTTATTAATATTTGGTGGATATGTTTGCTTCATCTCTACTCTTAAGAGGTTTAATGAGTCTCATTAGGTGTAAATGTCTTGCTAGTTCTTATTTGCATTTACATAGAGGCCTACTTAAGTTAGTGAATGGCTCACATTGTTTAACAGGTCATCTTGATCTATTTTCTCCTACCTCTTGTCTTAAGCAGGATTGCTTCACAGTGGAGGGAGAAGATTTGAGGCATGATTTTGAACGCTTGCAATTGGCCATGGAAATGGTAGGATTTCTTCCCAAGACACGAAGACAGTGAGTTTTAAAATTTTTATTTCTTTACTGTAGTTTTATATTTCCAGTAATAAACAAAACATGATGTGTTTTTGAGAGGTTTCTCCATCTTAATTCTTTTAAAAACATTTTTTGTTTGACTATTTCATGTGTATATACAGTGTATTTTTATATATCCACCTTCAGCTTCCTCTTCCTATTCCTTCTTCTGTAACCCAATGAGTAGAATTGGTGCTTTTTTGTATTATTATGGTGCCTGCTTGCAACCATCTCCATGAAGAAAGATGACTTTCTTTCCCCAGGTAGCCACCAGTTGCCAGTAACTCTCTGGTAGGGATGAAGCCTCATGAATCCCTCCCTTAGTCATGCCGAGATTATTTTCTGCCTTGATTTTGCAAGTTAAGGTAGATTTTGTGAGTTGGTAAGTTCAGTGACCATGTAATGTCTAGAAGATAGCATTTTGCAGCACTCCTCTCTATTCTTTGGCTCTTGGCTCTGTCTTCTCTGGTGCTTTATGAGCTCTGGGATTCATACAGAACTCAGGACTAGGGCAGAGGACTCAAGTGTCACTCGTTCTCTCTCTCTCTCTTTTGAGACAGGGTTTCTTTGTATAGCCTAGGCGGTTCTGAACTCACTATGCAGACCAGACTGGCCTCAAACTCACAGATCTACCTGCCTCTGCTTCCCTGAGTTCTGGGATTACAGGCATGCGCCACTATGCCCAGCTTAGTTATGTATTTTCTAACACTTTGGCCAGTTATGAGTCTCTGCTTTGATTTCCCCCTGCAAAAAGAATCTTGTTTGACTGTGGTTGAGAACAAGCACTAATCTGTTGGTATAACATAAATGTTTAGAAGACAGTTTGACAAAATAACAGTCCTGGGTCCCTCTACTGGGGCCAAGCCTTTTACAGCCTCTTGGACCTTTGGCCATGGTCACAATTTCGACCATGCATCCTTCCTGTGGAGCAGACCTCAGATCCCACCAGAAAACAGTTGGTTATCTTTGTAACAGTCATGCACTTTCCTTGGTTCTGTTAAACAGTTTTATAAATGGTATCACTATTACCTTAGCCACATTACAATTAGAGCCCCCCCCCCCCTTAACTATATAATCTTTGAGAAGCTGATGAAAGCTAAAATACTTTGGTAAAATGTATGTCCATAAACATTTGCATATGATTTGGGGACTTCATAAACTTCTTGAATCCCAGCCATAGACATAACATAAAATCTACTACTTGTTAAAAAACAGCTTTAAATTTTCTACATCAGTGATGTAGTGTTAAGTCATACATGTCCATATGTAATATGTAATATTACATACATATTTATATGTTTGTAATATTAAAAATTCTTGATAACATAAATGTAGCTCCATGATAGGAGTGCTTGATTTGCAGACACAAGACCATAGACTCAATCCCTAACAGTAGCACTCTCAAAAAACAAACTACAAAGCCTTCATTCATGGCAATATGAACAAAATGAAAATGTAAAAAGTTTTGATCAGGTTGAAGAGATGGCTCATTGGATGAAGTGCTTGGTTGGCAAGCATGAGGGCTGGAGTTCTGATCCTTAGACCCCATATCAGAAAATCCTGGTAGGCATGATTGTCCCTGTGGATGGGAGGTTAAGATGGGGAATCCCTAGAGCGAGCTGGATAATCAAGGTAGCAAAAACAAAGCAAGCTCTTATTCAGCAAGAGCCCTTACCTCAATATATGCCTCAAAGTGGAGAAGCGTTTTCTTAAACCTGTGTATGGCAGAAATGGTGGAGAGTTTTAACACTGGCTGCTCTTCAATTCCCAATACCGTTATCGCCCCTCAACCACCATTTGTAGCTGCTGTTTCTGGGGAATCTGCTGCCCTATTCTGGCCTTTGCAGGTACTACATGAATATGTTGCACAGACATACTTGTGGGCATACATATAAAATGAAAATTTAGATGAAAGACACATGATGTCTCACTTGGGCCTCCATCTTCATTTAGTCACGTGCACATGCACTTTCTATGTGTTCACTCATACACATGCATGTACAACAGCACAGTAACAAAATATACCAAAAAACCGAATTATTTTATTTAAGCAAACTATTTAGAAACTATTTAGAATTAAAGATACAACCTTGTCTTATGAGAGAAATACTTTTCTCATAACTTTTATCTGGTTAGTTTGGAGACAGGGTTTTGTCATTATGTATTGTAGACCGGCATCAAAGATCTGCATGTAAAGGCTGCCTTATCCTCCCCGCTAACTCAAAGTACAAACATGCACTTCTGTATTTAGCTGTTTCAGAACTGTTTTTGAAGGGTTTATGGGATTTATGTTGAAGACTGTGTCATAGTTTGAGTGTGTTAGGAATGAATAACCTCTTGAGTGAAGAGTGTCTACCAGAAGTTGAAAAAGACATGCCTGACCTGTTATGATAGGCCTCTTGAATTCTAAAATTGTTTGCTCAATTCCTTTTATGAGAAGTTGGTTAAAACCAAACAGTATAATGTATAAATGTTCAAACATATGTAATTGGTTATAAAAACTGCAATTCACTGAAAGTTAATATATGAGCTCCCTCAGTTTCTGTTCTATTTTCCCTCGGGATAGCTCATAGGCAGCATGTGACCCTGAACTGAAGCAAGTGTTAGGCTATGTACTGACTGAGTGACCTTAATGTTAAAAGTTAAATTCTGAAATGATCTGAAATTTAAAATATTGTGAATATTGACATGCTGAAAATATTTTAGAATTTGGAGCATTTGCGAATTTTAGATTAGGGATACAAAACAAAGTCATGAACCCATTCTACAATCTGAGAAGCTCTAAAAACTCAAACATTTTTTGTTTATTCATTTTGTATCCCAGCTTTAGCCCCACTCCTTCATTCCCTCCCAGTCCCACTGTACCTCCCTTGTCTCCATGCCCCACTCCAAGTCCTCTGATAGTAGAGGTCCTCCTCCCCTCCCATCTGACCCTAGCCTATTGGGTCTCTTCAGGACTGGCTGCATTGTCTTCCTCTGTGGCCTGGTAAGGATGCTCCCCCCTTCGGGGGAAGTGATCAAAGAGCCAGTCACTGAGTTCATGTCAGAGACAGACTCTCTTCCCCTTACTAAGGCACCCACTTGGACACTGAGCTGTGATGGGCTACATCTGTGCAGGGGTCCTAGGTTATCTCCATGAATGGTCCTTGGTTGGAGTATCAGTCTCAGGAAAGACCCCTTGGGCCCAGATTTTTTGGTTCTGTTTCTCCCTTTGTGGAGCTCCTGTCCTCTCCAGGTCTTTCTATCTCCCCCTTCTTTCATAAGATTCCCTGCACGCTGCCCAAAGTTTGGCTATGATTTTCAGCATCTGCTTTAATAACTTGCTGGGTAGAGTCTTTCAGAGTCTCTCTGTGGTAGGCTCCTGTCCTGTATCCTCCCTCTTCCGATGTCCGTCCCCTTTGTGAGGATTGATCATTTTACCCAGGATCCTCTTTCTTGCTTAGTCTCTTTAGTTGTACAGATTTTAGAATGTTTATCCTATATTGTATGTCTAATATCCACTTATAAGTGAGTATATACCATGTGTGTCTGTGAGTTGGCGGCCAGCCTCGTAAAAAGAGAGTTTCAGGACTGCAAAGGCTACACAGAGAAAACCCTGTCTCAAAAAACAAACAAACAAAGTAAAATGAAAGAGTAGTAAGTGCTCTTAACTTGTGAGCCAGCCATCTCTTAAGCCCTTATTGAAGGGCTGTTTAAAATTTGTGTGTGTGTATATATATACATTCATTTATGTGTATATTTCTTTGTGAGTGTATATACACATGTTTGTGTGCATTTGTATTCAGGGAATCATGAAGAGGCCACTGTATCCTTTAGAACTGGTGTTACAGGCATTTGCAGGAAGCCTGGCTTGTTATGTGGCTGCTGGGTTCCAAACTCATGATCCTATAACAGCCGCTCTTAACCATTGAAGGGCCAGAGTGTTCAGCTGTGTTAAATGTCTGAAATGTCAGCTAACTGGGAGAAGTTTTCTCAGCTAACTGGAAGAAAAGTCCTTGGTAACCTCTGAGTTATATGAGATTGCAGCAGATGTTAAATGGTGGTGAATAGGAATAGCAAAGTGAAAATAAGGAGTTTGAGTTAATATTTCAGTAAACTTGTTTGTAAGTAGGAGAACATGTTGAGTCTATGGTGGTTTATTTAAAATAGGAGAAAATAAACAGTATTTTGATAAAAGTTCTTAAAAATTTAAGTGGGAGGTAGGTAACGAAGACAGTATGATTTCTGAGTTGACTGGGGTGACAGGCTATAGGGTACTAGTGGAAGTGTTAGTTTTAAAATTTGTTTTATATTTTATTTTTATGTGTATATTGGTGCTTTGCCTGCATGAATGTCTGTGTACCAGGTGCATGCCTGGTGCCAGTGGAGGCCAGAAGAGGACCTCAGAACCCCTGGATCTGGAGTTAGAGATGGTTGTGAGCCACTGTGTGGGTCCTGGGAATTGAACTTAGGTCCTCTGGAAGAGTATCCAGTACTCGTAACTACTAAGACGTCTCTCTAGCCTGAGAGATTAATTTTGAAAAGAAGGCATTTTGCAGGAGGGAAGTAGAGCATCCAATTGAAAGTATTTATAGTAAAGACATGGTATTTGCTAGTAAATTCCACCAGCCTTATAATTAAAAGTAATATTTATCAATGGTCCCATAATAAGATGTAGGAAAACATTTAAAAATAAGATTAATTATAAAAAGTCTCCTAGGATACCTGATAAAATATGGATTGTAAGGACTTCCTTTTAGAGATTCCTACTCATTGTTTCTGAAATATTACAAGGCAGAGATATTCCAGACAGAAGAAACATTTAGAAAGGAATCGCTGTTGTGAAACATTACAGCAAATTCAAGAAACTCGAATTTTTACAAGAATTATATAACAAATGCCGTATATTATATGTAGTATTATGTTACTGTAGTATAATGTTACATGTAAATAATTTGATTAATACTTGACATACAGTTAATAGTAAAGTTTAGCTAAAATTAATATTCTTTTGTGAAGATTAAATACCTCATACTTTGTACTGGTTTTGGATTTTGGAGTGAAAAGAGCTTTGAGAATGCACATTGCAAACTTTAATCTGTGCCTTTTATTTTCATAGGATTTTCTCTCTGTTGTCAGCAATACTACATTTGGGTAATATCTCCTATAAAAAGAAGACTTACCGGGATGATTCTATTGATATCTGTAATCCTGAAGTACTGCCTATTGTCTCAGAATTATTAGAAGTGAGTCATTTGTTCTCAGTCCTAAATTTCAGATCCTGGGTAACTTCTCAATTTTATTTTATATATACTTTAACTTGTAAATGGGTTTATTTAGTTAAAAATGGATTTATGTGATACTGTTTTAAAAAAGTGTTTTCAGAAGTTGGCATCCTCTTACCTCCCTGCCTTACCTGTGAGTGTGCCAGGACCCTTAGGTCTTTGTTTTCTCCCTTTCCCCGACACATATAATTCCTTAGTGGAACATTTCCACTCCAGCTTGTGTAATGTCCTGGGCTTGTGCTAATGTTGCTCTTTCCAGTTTGAGATTTCTCAATAAAATTGTGGTTAGATGATATTATTTGAAGATGGGGTGCCTTGACGAGTAGTGAAAAGAGGTGCAACTTTAAAATTTTTCTCTTAATGGCTTGAGGAGGTCCATGTCTTTTTACACATCAGGCTGTGTTCCACTGTTTTTCCCGGAGTTAGGGTATGTCATAATTTCCAGCTAACTCTTTATCTTACCAGATTTACCCCATCGGATTGGTGTTGCTTCTTTTAGGCTGTTTCATCTGAAAGATGAAGAGAATATATGAGTGTATTTTAACTGTGTACAGACAAAAAAATTTTAATGTAAACATTTGTATTTATATAAACTAATGATTTTTATACCAATGTCTGCAAATTTTCCGTACTGTTGTTCAAATTTTTCCTCTTACATATCTGTAAGCTCCCACTCCAACAGGGAGAAACATTCCTTTTCATCCTCTGCCACCCATATACTTCTCATTGACAAGATTCATTTTATAACATTATTCAAATTAACCCTTGTTTCCTTGTGGAAAATGATTTTAAATTAGTGGATAATTCTTACAAGTGTTCCTTTTTGGCTTTAGTTGTAGATTGCATTTGTTTTCAGCGTTGTTTAGCTGTTTAGTTTTTCTTAATTGAGATTATTGATATCAATACCTTCCTTCATTGAGGTTATTTCATAGATTATATAACTAGACTCTTTCATCATGGCCTATACTCCTATTGGAATCTCTTACTGCCTTTAGTATTTTAAAAAATTTGTATATTGTAGGGTTCACTCTTTGCACTGAGTGGGTTTTGACAAATGTATGAAGTCATGTGTCCACAGTAATAACCTTGTACAGAACCTTTTTACTGCTCCAGAACTCATCTTCATATTAATTTTTATTTTCCACATGTACTATAATTGTAATTATAGAGTTAGTAGTATTTCTAGATTGACTTATTTTACTTGGTAGCATGCATTTAAGATGCATCTTTCTAGGTCAAACCAGTGGTTGTGCACACCTTTAATTTCAGCACTTGGGAGACAGAAGCAGGTGGGTCTCTGTGGGTTCAAGGCCAGCTTGGTCTATGTATCGAGTTCTAGGACAAGCAGGACAACATAGAGAGACCCTGTGTCAAAAACAAACAAACGCATTCTTTTGCTTCTGGATAATACTTAACAGTGTGTGTGTGTGCACTTGGGCTGTTTACCCACTTGTGGATTGAAGCCCAGCATCTCACTTGTTTCTGGTTTGGTGCAGGTAGGGATAGCTTGATGTGCTTTCTTTCTTTCTTTTTTTTTTTTTTTTTTTTTTGTAAGATTTATTTTATTTATTTATTACTTATATACTAGAAGAGGGTGCCAGATCTCATTATAGATGGTTGTGAGCCACCGTGTGGTTGCTGGGAATTGAACTCAGGACCACTGAAAGAGCAGCCAGTGCTCTTAACCTCTGAGCCATCTCTCCAGTCCTTAATGTGCTTTTTTAAAATTTAAAATTTAAAATTTAAAATTTAAAATAATATCTTTCACATCTTGGTTCATGTGCCCCTTCACTAGAAGTCTAAATTCATTGTGTATAGAACCAGTTACTTCTCCTTGGCATAATTTAGGTTAGTTTTTAAAGAAAAACATTATTACTATTATGTGTCCATTATAAAGCTACAGTGCCAGGTGAGAGAATTCGATGCCTCTTTTTCATATACCTAACTGCAGAGTTTATTTTTCTTTATATATGACTGGTCATTGCTTTTTACCTTCTGTGAAATGATACTGTGACAGAAGAGGATGGAAAAGGAGTGCCTTTAACTGGAACTACTATTCCACTTATTGGAATACATTTTTACCAAGATGTAGACTGTTGAATCTGTATCTGTAATTTTGAAAGTCATAGTTGAGATTTCAGTCAGGCATTTCAGGTAATATTTAGTCAACCATCCATTATAATAAATTAGGACATTGTGCCTTGTGGTCTTATTTTAAACCTAGATATAAGTACCAAGGATTTTAGTCTTAATTTAGTCTTAATCCTCCCTACCACCCGCAAGACAGGGTTTCTCCGTGTAGCTTTGGCTTTCCTGGACTCCCTTTGTAGACCAGACTGAAATCACAGAAATCTGCCTTTCTCTGCCTCCCTGAGTGGTGGGAACACAAGCACGAGTATCTGAGTTTGCACCCACACACCCAAGTAAAATCTGGTCTGATTGTGCATCTGTAACCGTAGAACTGGAAGGGTGAGTGTGAGGGAGGATGGCAGGAAAGGCAAATACCCTGAGCTTACTGACCAGTCAGTAAGCTTCGGTTAAACGACAGACCCTTTACCTGGAAAAATAAGGTAGATTTGGGCATGGTGGCTGTGTCTTAAATCCCAGTACTCAGGAGGAAGAGGCAGATGGATCTCTGTGAGTTCAAGGCCAGTCTGGTCTACATAGTTCCAGGACAGCCAGGGCTGCACAGAGAGATCCTGTCTCAGAAAACAAAAACAAAACAAAATATGGGAAGAAATAAACAGATTCCTTACATTGATTCCACAGCACCTGTGTACATGTACCCGAGCATACACAAACTGTGCACACATACAGATGCAGACGTCAGTTTTTTGGTACTGAAGATTCTTTTATTTTATGTGTGGAAGTGTTTTGCTTGAATGTATGTATGTGTACCACCGGATGCCCAGGAAGGTTACAAGAGGATGTCAAATTCTCTGGAACTAGAATTACAATGTTTGTGAGCCACTATATTGGTAATGGAACTGAAACTAGATCATCTGCAAGAACAAGTTTTCCTGACCACTGAACCATTTTTCCACTCCCCATTTTTTTTTTTTTTTATAATTCATTTAGGTGTTGATGGTACATACCTGGAACCTCTATACTCAAAAGGTTGAGGCAGAAAGTTCACTATGAGTTTGATGCTGGCCTGGGCTATAGAGTGAGACTCTATCACAAATAAACATATTATTTACTTCTTGGGTAAGAGTAAAAACAAAGAAAGGAGCATCTTTATCTGAAAGTTTAATGCTCGAGTATAAAAATAAATTTCTAGAGCACAATATTCCCTAGGAGTATTCCTCAAATTCAAGGAGTGCTATTATCTTTTAGTCCGTGTTCTTTATATTGTGAAATCTAGATGTGTATGTGTGTGTGATGTGTATGATGCTGGTGAGAATCCATGATCTTTCACATGCCAGGCAAGTTCTATTGTAGAGTTAAACACTTACTTGGAAGCATTTGAAAAAAAAAAAAAACAAAAAACAAAACAACAAAACAATTGGTATACCTTTTTTTTTTTCTGTTTTAGGTGGAGGAATTATGGTTAGTGTTATGCGTAAATTCCACTTTATTATTAAGATAATGTATATTTTCTTTGCATTTCTTTATATTCATTGCATTATGACTTTTATTAAAAATTTTCTTTACTTAGCTTTTCAATATAGTAATTCTCTGTCATAAACTTTATATATTGAATATAACTTTCTGCTTTATAGGTTAAAGAAGAGATGCTATTTGAAGCATTAGTTACAAGGAAGACAGTGACAGTGGGAGAAAAGCTTATTTTACCATATAAGCTGGCAGAGGTATGATTTTCTTGAAAATAAAAATATTTTGAATATTCTAAGATACAAGTTTTTTTTATTTTATTTTTTTTCTTATCAGTTACATTTTATTAACTCTGTATCCCAGCTGTGTCCCGTTCCCTCATTCCCTCCCAAACCCACCTTCCCTCCCTTATCTCCACCATGCCCCTTTCCAAGTCCACTGATGGGGGGACCTCCTCCCCATTCATCCGATCCTGTTTTATCAGGTATCTTCAGGACTGGCTGCAAAGCCCTCCTCTGTGGCCTAACAGGACTGCTCCTTCCTTGGGGGGTGGGGAGGTCAAAGAGCCAGCCATTGAGTTCCTGTTAGAAATAGTCTAAGATATAGGGTTTGTAGGGGTTTCTTCCTTTCCTTTTTCTTTTCAAAATGAAGATGATAGTAGGCAAAATATGTTAATTGAGATATTTTCTAGGAAAGATTATAAATTTGTCATAGATTTGGAAGCTTAAAATTCAGTATGGTTTTGTATTTATTTATTTTAATATTAAAATATAATAAGATAACACAAAAATTGTCACATGGAAGTTGGACATGACAAGCCAGCAGAAGGAAAGAAGCCCCAGAGAAGGCATAAAAATCAGAGAGCCACTCGTTTTCACGCTCAGGAATCTCATAAAAAACACTAAACTGAGAGCCATAGAGGACCTGGGGCAGGCCCTGTGCCTGCTGCTTCAGTCTTGTGAGTTCGTGTGAGTTTATTTAGAGGGTCTTGTTTTCTTGTTGTTTTCCATCATCTCTGGCTCTTACACTCTTTCTGCCTCCTCTTCCAAGGGGTTTCCTGAGCTCTGAGGGGAGGGATTTTATAGAGACATCCCATTTAGGCTGATTGTTCCATGTCTGGCTGTGGGCCATCTGTATTTGCTCGAATTGTAGAAGGAAGCTCTGAGGATGTCTGAACAAGGAGTCATTTTATCACTGTGTTTTTGTTTGTTTGTTGTGATGTTTTAGATCAGTGTATTTGATTTTACCCTAGGTCCCTGGGCTTTATACCCTCTGGTTCTTGGTCACTCAAGCAGGGTCAGGTTTGGGTTCCATCTGGTGGTGTGGGCCTTAAGTCAAATCAGATATTGGTTGCCTACTCCCACAAGCTTTGTGCCATCATTGCCCTAGCATATCTTGTAGGCAGGGTCGCATTATAGATCAGAGGGTTTATGACTAGCTTAGTATTTACATACAAACTCCTTTGGTGATGTCCAGAGTACCTTTCTGTACCAGAGGCTCAGTGTGGTTTTAAATAGTAAGCTTTTATTTTTCTTCAAGGATCTTAAAAAAATATTATATGTATGGGTGTTTTTCTGCATTTCTGCCTTTGTGCCATATGTGTGCAGTGCCCATGCAGGCAAAGGTTAGGGTCACTTGTGAGCTGCCATGTGGGTATTGAGAATTGAGCCCAAGTCTAGACAGATTGTCTAGAAGTGCTCTTAAACCCTGAACAGTCTTTCCAGCCCCTCTTCAAGGGTTTTAGTCTTTTGTTTGTCTTTCCAGTCCATTGAACTCTGGACCTTGTATGTATTAGATAAGTATTCTACCACAGAACTAAGTCCACAGCCCCTCCTCATTATTCTATTTCATTTTAATATTGTAGGGCAAACAGATGATAGAGTTATATAAATAAAAGCAGAATTGCAACCTGTTGATTATTTCTTCTTGAATAGTTTTCTTTAGTCATTTGCTGCTTATAATACTTTGCCTTTTTATTTATTTATTTATTTTGAGAAAGGTTTGTGTGTTTGTGTGTATGTGTGTGTGTGTGTGTGTGCGTAGTCCTCACTGTCATGGAACTCACTTTGTAGACCAGGCTGGCCTTGAACTCAGAGATCCATCTGCCTCTGCTTCTGCCTCCTGAGTGTTGTGATTAAAGGCGTGTGTCACCACCACCCAGCTTAATATTTTCTTTACCAGTGTTTTTAACAAAAGATACAATTTTAATTATGTGTTACCTTTAAATTAGCTTTTAATCTTTGTTTTATTTTTTCATAATATTTTTTGATTATTTTGTTGTTTAATAAGTACTTGAAAATTCTCATCCAGATGTGGTGACACGTGTCTTTAATCCCAGCACTGGGAAGGCAGAGGTGGGCGGATCTGTGTCTATAGATGTCTGTGCTATAGTCTAATTATTTTATTGATTTGCCTGCTGCACACAGCTAGAGTGAGTTCAGAAACAGGGATTGACAGGTAGTCTTCACTCCTATTTCCTCATCACTTGAAAACAGATGTTAATAGAAACAGCAGAACATTATTAGCATTTATATTCTTTTAAGTGGCAGGACTCAATTTTTGTAAACCAAAGTCTCTCTCTCTTTCTCTTCTCTCTTTCTCTTTCCCCCATCTCTTCATTCTGTGCTAAAGCTCATGACAAATCTGGTCATGATTCAAAATCTTTTTTTTTTTTTTTTTTTTTTTTATGATGATTCAAATTCTTTAGTGCTGGGATTTACAGGTTTGAGCCACTAGGCCTGGCTTTAAACTCTTCTATAAATGAGATTTTTCTTTAATTAATAGCATCTCCTGCACCTTTGTTTCCATGTGTATTTGCATGCATTTGTATTTTTTAAACTTTAATTTTTCTTTTTTCTTTTAAGTAGAGTCTCTCAGTGAAACCTATTGCTTTCCAGGTAGCCAGCTTGCTAGGCACATCCCCATCTTCTCTTCTGCGTGGAGCTACATGCAGGCTGAAATGCCCACCCCAGACAGATTTAGAGGGCTTGGATTGTACCAAGAAAATAGTGAGCTGAGAGAAAATGTAAATTTCATAATTCCCTAATTAAGAGATTGTTACTATTTGTTGGGATGAAGCAGTTCTTGGGTAACACACTGAGGATAGATAGTAGATCATTTTGGCATTTTTATGTCTATGTTTTAAGAGTGTATGAAGGAATTTACAAATGCTAATATCTTTTTTGTGCCACCAAATTTCTTTCTTTCTTTTCTTTCTGAGACAGTCCTAGCTGTGTAGTCCTAGCTTTCCTGGAACTTGCTCTGTACTCCAGGCTGGCCTTGAACTTAGAGATTTACCTGCCTCTGCCTTCCGAGTGCTGGGATTAAAGATGCATGCCATCACTGCCCAGCTTCAGATTTCTTTCTTAACCTAGAATAATCACTGATATCATAGTTGGTCATTTGTTTACCACCTTTACCTGAGAGAAAATATGCCCCCATTGTCAGTAAAAATGCTTTGAATTGAGCGATTCATACATTGTTTTTGTTTCATGGCAATTTGTTCCTAGATCCCTGAGTTGGACTAAATTAATGAATACTTATAGAAAACTTTCATTATTGGCTATTTAAATTGACAGAAAAACTAGTTTCTAATTTAAAAATAGTTTTTTTTTTCTGAAAAAAAAAAAAAAAGTAACAGTTCTTGTTATTGTATCTTAGTGAAATTATTACTCTTAGCAGATCATGGTGGTGCATGCCTTTAGTCCCAGCACTCAGGGAGGTAGAGGCAGGCCAATTGATGTGAGTTTGAGGCCAGCCTAATCTACAAAGTGAGTCCAGGCCAAGGCTAAATAGAGAAACCCTGTCTTGAAAAAACAAAAGCAAAACCAAAAAACAAACAAAAAAATCCCTTCTTAGCATTCTTCTTTGCACTCATAATTCTCTTTGTGTTTTGTAGGCTGTGACAGTGAGAAACTCCATGGCTAAGTCTTTATATAGTGCTCTGTTTGACTGGATAGTGTTTCGCATTAATCATGCGCTTCTGAACAGTAAAGATGTGGAACACGAAACTAAGGTAAAGATCTGTTGTGTTATACTTTACCTGAGAACTGTTTATGAACTGGTGAGTATTTGAATCTGTAGGAGGTACTGTGCAGATTTTAGAGATGAAGTTTGATGCATACTGCAGATATTTTTTCTCTTAGTTACTTTTTAAATATTCATGCCGTTTTTTTCCATTTCTGCCATTCTTTTATAATTTTTCAGTTATGTATTAACTTATGTAGAAAGGCTTCTTCTAGTCCTAATTTATAAAGTATTTAGTATTGTACTTTTAGAATTTTTTGTCAAGTTGGAACTTTTGTTTTGTTTTATTTTTTCTGGATTTTGTTTTGTTTTGTTTGTTGAGACAGGCTCTCTGTATATAGGCTTGGATGTCCTGGAACTCATTATGTAGGCCAGACTGGGGTTGAACTAACAGATTCACTTGCTTTTGCCTCTTCAGTGCTGGGATTAAAGGGGTGTGTCATCATGCCCTGCATTTTGCTTGTTTGTTCATATTTTTAAGACAGGATATTGCAGTTTAGGTATGACCTAACCATTCTCCTTCTTTCACTTGGAATTAAAGATGCATGCCACCACACCCACCCTTGGACTTTACTTCTGTGACAGATTATATACATATAGCTTTAATAATTTCAGATTAATTTTTATTCTTAATAGCCGTTATGGCCCAGTTTACTTAATCTGATTAAAAATGTTATCTTTAAGATAACAGGGGACTAGGGAAAGGGCATGGAGGGAGAAGAGGAAGAGTAGGCGGGACTGAGAGGAGACAAGAGAGGGTTGCAGTGGGGATACAAAGTGAATAAAATGTAACAAATAAATATATAAATAAAATTTTAAAAAGTTATCTTTATTGTTTAATCCTACTGACTCAAAATATTTTTATATTTTATATTTCAAGTAATTTCATAATTATAAAATTAAATCTCAAACATATTATTAAATGAACTTTTTTGTGAAGGACATTATTTCATTTTATTCTATATGTCTAGCTTTTTTTTTTAGGTACTATAATTATGTAAAACCCTCTTGATACAGTTTTCAAAACATCTTTTATGTTCATCATATTAATTTGTTGACTGTGTCTGTTAGCACCAGTGGAGAAATTTTCTCATTTAATCAAGAGTTTTATGTTTATGTTAGAATGAGATTGAGCTTGGGGTTGCGGTGCATTCTTGTCATCCCAGCACTCAAGAGGCTAATATAGGAAGATTAGGCAAAGACCCATTTTCAAAGAGGGGCTTGGGAAGTAGGCGGAAAGAGGGAATGGTTCATTAGGTATTGTAAATAGCTGGCTAGAGTAACTTAACAACACTTTATCTGGTTCACTTTGTGAGGGTACAGCCCTCCATTGTGGGTAAGTAATGCTAGTAAGATCTTGAGGTAGCTCTCGTGTCTGCAGAAGGAGATAGATTATGGTGTTCAGTTCTCTCATCATTGTGTTCAGCCTGAGACATCACCCTTGTTCTCCCCTATTCCAGCCGATTGAATAATGCTGCCCACAGTCAAGAGGTTTTTTCTACCTCATTTAAACTCTCTGGAAATGTCTCAGACAGTTCCTGAGAGCTGTCTCTTAGGAGGGTCTAGATTCTGTGAAATTGTCAATGAATATTAATAATCAAACTTACATGTTAGAGTTACATGTTAGAGTTGAATTGGAGTCATTCATAGTAAGGTGTTACAAAGATAATTCTTAGAAGTCAAATATCCAAAAAGAGAAGAGAAGACATTTATGTCCTCTACAGCAGACACTAACCATGAGGAAATTAGTTTTTGGGTTTTTTTTTTGTTTTGTTTTGTTTTGGGCCTGGGTTGCTGGGGTGGGGTATTATTATCTTTTAGAACTAATGAAGGTTTAAAATAAACATTATTTATCAATTTTTTTGTCTATTAATTTATTTGTTTATCTACCTACCTATCAATTTACTTATTTGTTTATTTTGTGTTTGTGTCTATCTGGAGGTGAGAGGAACACGTCTATGAGTCAGTTTTCCTCTTCCAGTAGGTGGATTCTACAATAGAATTCAGCTTGTTAGGTTTGGTGCCAACCTCCTTTACCTGCTGAGCTATCTTGTGTACCTGCTAATTTAGTACTGATAACAAAATTGTTCATGGTTAAGATCAAATTAAGAAGAGTTACATAGTTTTCTTGTTATCTTACTAATCTTTCACTTAGGTAAGATTTTCTTATACCTATGCTTCTGTTCCCCTCTTTGGACTTAAGAACATTTGAGTTTAGGGATTTTTTTGCTTTCTCAAATTAAGATAATAGTTCACTCACCCTGCACTTTGTATAAATACTGTAATGCAGAAGTTACATATGTTTAAGTTTGTATTTTTTAATTTTAATTTTTATTAATTACATTTTATTCACTTTGTATCCACCTTGTAGCTCCCACTCTCCTCCCCTCCCAATCCCACCCTCCTTCCCCCTTCTCCACCCATGCCCCTCTCCCAATCCACCGATAGGGGAGGTCTTCCTTCCCTTTCATCTGATCCTTGTCATCAGTTCTCATCAGGACTGGCTGCATTGTCTTCCTCTATGGCCTGATAAGGCTACTGCTCCCTTAGGAAGAGGTGATCAAAGAGCAGGCCAATCAGTTCATGTCAGAGACTGCCCCTGTGCCCCTTTCTAGGGAACCCACTTGGACACTGAACCTCCATGGGCTACATCTGTGCAGGGGTTCTAGATTATCTCCATGAATGCTCCTTGGTTGGAGTGTCAATCTCAGAAAAGACCCCTTGCCCAGATTTTTTGGTTCTGTTGCTTTTCTTGTGGAGCTCCTGTTCTTTCCAGGTCTTTCTATTTCCTACTTCTTTCATAAGATTCCATGCACTCTGCCCAAAGGTTGGCCATAAGTCTCAACATCTACTTTGATACCCTGCAGGGTAGAGCCTTTCAGAGGCCCTCTGTTGCAGACCCCTGTCTTGTTCCCTGTTTTCTCCTTCTTTGAATGTCCATCCTCTTTGCCTTTCTGAATGGGGATTGAGCATCTTAGCCAGAGTCCTCCTTCTTGATTAGTTTCTTTAGGTGTACAGATTTTAGTAAGTTTATCCTGTATTACATGTCTGATATCCACTTATGAGTGAGTATATATCCTGTGTGTCTTTCTGCTTCTGGGATACCTCACTCAGGATGATCTTTTCCAGTTCCTACTATTTACCTGCAAATTGATTTCCTTATTTTTTTTTTGTGTGTGTGTTTTTATTTAAAAAATTAATTACACTTTATTCACTTTGTATCCCCCCGTGGTTCTCTCCCTCCTCCCGTACCAATCTCTTCCTTTCTCCACCCTCTGCATGCATGCCCCTCCCCAAGTCCACTGATAGGGGAGGTCTTCTTTTCCTTTCTTCTGATCCTAGTCAAGTAGGTCTCATCAGGAGGGGCTGTATTGTCTTCTTCTGTGGTCTGGTAATGCTGCTTCCCCCTCAGGGGGAGGTAATTAAAAAGCAGGCCAATCAATTCATGTCAGAGACAGTCCCTGTTCCTGCTACAATGGAACCCACTTGGATACTGAACTGCCATTGGCTACATCTGTGCAGGGGTCTTAGGTTATCTCCATGCATAGTCCTTGGTTGGAATATCAGTCTCAGGAAAGACCCCTGTGCTTAGATTTTTTGGTTCTGTTGCTCTCCTTGTGGAGTTGATTTCCTTGTTTTTTTATTGCTGAGTAATATTCCATTGTATAGATGTACCACATTTTCTGTATCCCTTCCTCAGTTGAGGGACATCTGGGTTGTTTCCAGCTCTTGGCTATGACAAATAAAGCTGCTACAAACATAGTTGAGCTAATGTTCTTTTGGTATACTTGAGACTCTTCTGGGTATATGACTAGGAGTTACGGTATAGCTGGATCTTGAAGAAGCACTATTCCTAATTATCTGAGAAAGCGCCAGATTGATTTCCAAAGTGGTTGTACAAGTTTACATTCCCACCAGCAATGGAGGAGGGTTCCCCTTACTCCACATCCTCTCCAGCATGTGTTGTCACTTGAGTTTTTGATCTTAGCCATTCTGATGGGTGTAAGGTGAAATCTCAGCATTGTTTTGATTTGCATTTTCCTGATGACTAAGGACATTGAGCATTTCTTTAAGTGTTTCTCTGCCATTTGATATTCCTCTATTGAGAATTCTCTGTTTAGCTCTGTATCCCATTTTTTAATTGGATTAACTGATCTGTTGCTGTTTAACTTCCTCCTCCTCCTCCTCCTCCTCCTCCTCTTTCTTCTTCTTCTTCTTCTTCTTCTTCTCCTTCTTCTTCTTCTTCTTCTTCTTCTTCTTCTTCTTCTTCTTCTTCT